ATGCTGTTTGGAACGGTATAGTACGGTATGATACGGTTAGTTATCGTACGGATTGGTACGGTACGGTATGGTACGTTATGGTGCGGATACTTGTCGTACGGATCGGTACGTTACGATATAGTACGTCAATGAACCGTTTGGTATGGTACGCAGTGTACGGTTTGCTACGGTGTATTACCTTATGATGTGGCTTTCTATCATATGTTACGGAATGTACAATATGGTATGGTGTTCTAAGATAATGTAACGTATGGTATGGTATAATACGGTATGTTATGGTGTGGTACCGTATTGTGTCCTATGGTTTGTTATAATTTGTTATAGTATGTTATGGAATGGCACGGTATGTTACTACATTTTACGTTATTGTATTTTTTGTTATGTTGTTGTATGGTATTTTACTTTATCGTACGGTACGGCTCCGTGTGGTACCGTACGGTTTTGTATCGTAATGGTACTGTATGTTACAACTGCACAAGGGTGACACGTCTGGCTTAGTGTGGAATGTGTGACACGTCTGGTGCAGAAGTGTCTCGACTAGACAGGTGTAAGTAGTGTGAATATACTAGACAGGATTAAAATGTGAAAATGCTGAAGCATATGTGACATGACTCTGCGAGTGTACAAAATGTGACATGCACGAAGTAGAATTTACATGACTGGAACCAGCAAAAGTAGTGACATGACGGATGCATGATTGACATGACTGGGCAAGTGTAATTGGTGTGAAACAACTGAATCAGAAGTGACACATCTGTGCGTGGTTAAAGATATTGACATGTTTGCAGCAGGATTTACCCGGCTGTGCAAAAGTAAAATGATGACACCACTCTGCAAGTGTGACATGACTAAGAAATAGTGAAGAGAGTGACACTACTAGGCAAGTGTGAAGTAAGTGACACGATTGGGTAAATGTGAAATTAGTGGCTCGACTGTGCAAGCGTGACATGACTGGGCCAGTGTAAGAAGAGTAACGCCTTTGTGCAAGTGTGACATGACTGGGCAATGGCGAAAATAGTGTCATTATTGAACAATAGTGTAAAGTGTGACAGATCTGGGCTGGCGTGGCACGACTGGACATGAGTGAATATAATGACAGGAGCACCTCTATTTCTTCAAATGCCTTTAGATCGTCGTTACATATTAACAAATTATTTTCATATTGATCCCCGCAAGGCGTGGAATAGTATAGGTCAATCAGTTCGAGATTATTTATTTTTACAGAGGATATCGAAAATTATCGAATATTATATGTAAACAGCTTTCCACGTACCGGATCACTGTAATACTTCTGGGTCGATAAACAATATTAGATCATCCTTATACTTCAAAAAATTTTGTTAAATGACCTTAGTTCGTCG